AAGTGAACCAATAAGGTTGACGTTCCGAAATCAAATGGTACATAGCGCCCCGCATGGTCTCTTATATAGATCTCAACTGTGTCGAATGAGCGCGTGCGGAGATCAAAATAGAGGGGGTGGTCAAAGTGTACGACAGACATGCTGCCGTATTGTGCCTTGATGTCTACGGGGACCGTGCGAAGCAGTGGTGCTCGTGTGTGGCCAATAATTTGATCTGATAAAATGTCCATGTAGACCAACATCTGAGCGGGGACACCGAGACTTATGTCAATCGGTTTAACTCCCGAAAAATTTTCAGTGGCAGCATACGGACCAGGGTGTTCTAGCCCTAGTTGAAGTGATAGGCGAGGTGACAAATGAACTTTGGTTTGTTCGCCCATATGGAATGGGAAAAATGTAATTCTCTGATCGGAGAGAAGCTTAAAGTATGTTTTGCTTCCGACTTCATTGTTCTCAAAGGTTCGTAGTGCATCGCTCAAGCATATGAGAAAATCAGTGACAGAGCTATAAGAGCCCGGCTTGACCGCTACCGTATCGACGATACTGTCAGTCACGACAGTAATTTCATTCTCTCCCTCTACGACCTGGGCTATTGTGTTTGGGTAGTGAAGTTCTATAAGGGCTGCCTGCCATTCTCCATGCAGTTCCATGCGCTGAGAGAGCTCAGTTTTAAAATGTGAAGTTTTATTGTCTGGATAGACAGCAGGACTTGCGTTACTAGGTAGAAAGGCGTAGAAATCCATCATACTAGATCTGAATCAAAAATCCAAGAGCGACTTTTTTCATGATAACCTCTCCAGTGGACGAGGTGTTGACGATTACCCTTTTTACCTTTTGAGCGCACTATATATGCTATTTTGAATGCCTCGGGCTTCGTGACCTTCTGAAGTTCTGCCTCATAAAACGTGCCCTGAATCGGATCCTTATCGAGATCTTCCAGCCTGTACACTGGCAGCGAATGAGGAATGACCTGAACGATTTTAAATATCTCTTCACTCCAGTTCCACGTATACCCTTTCTCGAACGTTTGTTTTTCTCGACTGATTCGGACATGATCACCCACTTTAAATTTTGTTTTCTTATTAGTGAGCTGAAGTCCATGGTACAGATTATTATATACTTCCAACACACGATCGGACGTCACGTCAATCGGTCTCATTTTAATTGATCGATGGTAAGTGTGGTTGTAGGCTTTAACTACATCTGCGAGAAGGCCATCGACATAATTGTAATTCCCAGTGTGAGTGAATCGCTTAAATAGTTTTGACTTGATGGTGCGCTGCCAGCGCTCCACCACTGAACACTTGATGTCGGGATTATGTGTGTGAATGTATGTAATGTAATTGTCTTTAAGAAATTTTTGAAACGACTTATTAATGTACTCTTTCCCCTTGTCAGAAAAAAGACGAGTCGGTCTGCGTGTTGTACTTTTGAAAATAGTTTCAAATCCATTAATGATGGACTGTGCAGACTTATCTTTCAGAGGCACGGCCCAGCCAAATTTTGAAAATGTGTCAATGACGCACAAAATAAACGTGAAACCCTTGTTATCGTCTTTCAAGGACTGGAAATCTGACAAGTCTGTCTGCCAACTGTCATCAATATTATCCGCATAAGTGACATTACGAGAGAAACGACGCCTTGCCGGTTTGTGCAGTGTGTATGCATCTTCCCCTTCCAAAAACTGAACTGTTTTTTCTTTTTTCTCGCCTGTGGTATTCCATAGTTTCCATGCTGTACCATATGAGGCAGGGTGGGCAGGATCGTGGTATACTTTACCAAGATTTCCAGGCATTTCTTTTCACTTGTTTTTGTGTTTTGTTTTGTTTAACAAGAAGACCCTTAGGTGTTTTTACCTTATTAAATGTTGTGACAGAACTGGTTAGTACAGGTCTAATACCAGAACCGCTCTGAGTACGAGCCGAAATAATATCGGCCCTTCTATTGGAGTTCTGTATGAGTTCGAGAGGAATATTTATAGCAGCTAGTGCTTTAATGAAAGGCGAAACCCCTACTGGTTCAAAGTTTTTTCGAGCTCTTGTGAGGTCTGATATAAGATCAATGATGTTAGAGTTAGGAACCGTTTGCTTGTTTATGGATACGGTACCCGTGGAGTCCCATGTGACTTTGGAGTCAGCTTGGCTTAGATAATCAAAAATTCTAAGGGCAGAGGCTTTATATGTTTTTGGGAGGGCTGTCTCAAGTTGTTGACGAATCAACTCTTCACTTTCGTGAGACTCTGTAAAATTCTCGACTGAAATTTGAAGAGGTTTGTGTCGTTCCTTTGTGAAAAAGAGATAGCGCTGTAGAGCATCATTGTAGTGCTTCCATTTTTCGTCGTCACTAGCGTATTTTTGTTTCATAATAAGATCCATTTCTGCGTCGAGTGAACTCGTTTGAATTTGAGCAGTGGATGGCATAGGGTCGTTCATCCTGGCCACACTCTCGTGCGGCACAAGAATCATTTTCTTGACATGATTCATTTAAAGAGACTAGGGAGGACAGATGCCACCGTGGAAAGCAAAAGAGGAAGAAATGTGCCCCCCTTTTGAATCTTTTCTTTTTTTTCCTTTAGACCTTTTCCCTTTTGTGCGAGTTCTCTGATAGTTGCACGATACCTGTGAAGTTTAGATTTCTGACTGGCAGTTAGTGGAATGTTACCGCTCAGCAAGTTATCACAGATCTCACAAATAGCGTAGATGATCGCTTTGTCAGAACTATTTATAATAGCCTTGCGTAGATTAGGTTTAGCTGAACGGAGGACCTGGTGTGTCTTGTCGGCAGGAGCCATTGTCAACGACTGATTCAGACCAACGTATCCATCTCCCTTTTATACTTTCCCTTGGGAATGTAAACGACTGTGGACTCGCCGGGAAAAATCAGAGTGCGCATGCGCAAATGGTCTTTCTGATTGGGCTTGAAATCAAATAGCAGGTATGTAAAGCCAGCCCGAGTGGCGTCGTGATAAGCCTCTAGGAGGGCTCGGAAATGAGTAGGGTCAACCTGCATGCAGAATGTGCGCACCTGTGCCACGTCTCGACTTGTTTTGAAAATCACGATGTAGTGTGTGTTGAGACTTATTTGCCTTAGACCGTCAGGAAAAAGACACTGACTTAAGAAATAAATACTAAGGTTTCTGTGATGGCTACCCTTGATGAAGAACTTAAGGATTTCCTTGTGGTGAGACTTAATCTCGTCCATAAAATCGTCAATCACAATAAGCTTGGGCCCTTGTCCAGTTGGGTGGTCATCCAGAACAGGAAGTTCTTGTCTGAAATCGACCTTGTCTTTTAGCTCGTCATACAGAGACTGCCACTCCGAGTAATAGAAAATAATTTGTTCAAATTTTACATTGAACATTTCATCTCTATTTTCAATAAGGCGTTTTATGAAAAAAGTTTTGCCACTTCCCGTTCCACCCACCACGAGGGCGGTGCAAGGATGTTGGAATCTGAGGTCCATCGTGAAGACTGATGGGCATCATTAGTTGTGGGTTACTTTTATAGGGCCAGCCTGCTCCTCCCTTGCGCAAAGAAGCAGCTTGCTTCTTCTTCATTTCAGACACACCACCGATTTAATCAGTTGCCATGAAGCCCATGACTTCGAGGAGTCCTTGATCCTCCTCATCGGCTTCAGACCAGGCATTAAAGCCGTGGGGGACTGTGTTAGCCATGTCAACCCGCCGCCTCTTAGTGTTTTTGGCCTGCCAATTTTTGGTCGTAGGGCGCGTGACCACCTTCCAAGTAGGCAATCGGGTAATCTGGAGGGGAATGGGAACAGTTGTTTTGTCTCTTTCCCCCATTACCATCGACTTAAGCCTTTCAAAAGTCACCAGTGAGTCACAGGACTTGTTAATAGAAATTCCCCGGACTTTTATGCAAACTTTTATGTTTTTTGTATCCCCACCTACAGCGACCTTGTACGCATAATTTTTAGGGCCCCCCGCAACGAACTCTGTGATGTACGAGTTTGGGCCATGATCTTCTTCAATCTGGTCTGTTAAATCACCCAAGTGGGTGCCGAGGCGAAGTTCTGGCTGGCCAGGCCGACTGATGTACGCCACACTGTCAGTGTCGTGGTAAAGTGCACGGTCCTTTACCTCGTCCAAGTACTTGTACAATTGAAGACGGCCATGACAGGTCGTAAAGGCAGCGTGTATCAGGGAGGATGTGGGTAGGGATTCCTCTGAATCCTCTACTGGCTGCCATGTGACCTGCAGTAAGGTCTCGCTTAGAGGGAGAAGGGCAGTCACGGTTTTACGAGGGTCTGTTATCAGCTCTAACAATGCTTCATGTTCCTTGATCAGCTCTGTCTTGGGTCGAAGCGTTTTTTCTCCGAACTTCCCCCAAAAACTGTTACACATTAGTTTGGCCAAAGTGCGCAGAGCGGGGTTCTTAATCATCTTTGCGGGGTCTATGATGACCCCGTCGTGTTTCAAGGTATCTTCCACAAACTTGGCTTTGAGCTCATCAGTGTCACAGTCGACAGGCCAACCACTTGCCTGTATCTTCAGGGCCATAAAGCACCTGACATACGCAGAAAGCAACCCATCCTGTCGTGTCTGAGGATCGTACTGGGATGTGGCAGGGTACTGGTATACTTCGTGGGTAGCAAGAAGCCGGTAGTTCTTCTCCCTGAGAGCGTAGAGAAGCTCTGGTGCACACCACGAACCCATCATCTGTCTCTCAGGAGGTGCGTGTTGACAAATTTCTGTGCACTCGTTCTCAGCGCATGTGCGACAGAGTGGAAAAAGGAGTTTTCCATTACATTTGTATGGGAGAACCGGCAGGTAAAGGTCTTTTGGGGGTAACACAGTGCATTTTATCATGCCATTCCAGAAATCTGGGGGTGGCATCTCAGGAGATCCTTCTAGATGGATTTCTGGGTGGCCTACTGGATACTCTGCCCGAAGATTGGCATTTGGGTATTCTGAAATGACATCCACTAATTTTATTTTTTCGCCTGGTTTGGCTTGGTAGTGCCATTTAAGAGCACTCGTTCGTCCACCCGCCAGGCCGTCTCTTAGCTGCAGAGGGGGAGTGCGTGTGGTTGGATTGTTCTCAAAGAAGTTCTTGACTTCGGGGTCATTGGCAAGGTCCAGTTTAAACTGACATTCCCACTTTTCTATCACAACATAGCCCTGTTTTCGGAACATAGCTGTGATCTTTTTAGTTTTTTGGTATTTGTTTTCTATGTCGTCTTCGTTAGCTGGGAAGTGTTCGGGGCACTGGTGCCAATAGCACCCGTGAAATTGATAAATGCGGCGCTCAGTGCTGCCATTTGGTTGAGGGATTTCTATGTAACCATCCACTGCCCTTCCCATGACACGGACCTCACGGTCGGTGTAAATAGTCTTTATGACCTTGCCGAGTTTGTGGGCCTCATAATCAAGCCACTTTAGAGCAATGTGGCTTTGCTTGCCTCTGCCATGATATCCTCCTGGAGGCACAAGACCTATCGTGTTGGCGGTCAAGAAATTCCGGCGAAAGGCCGCCATGCATGCACTGCTTAGTGTAATACAGTGGAGCATTGGGTCAAACCCAGCAACTTTTTGGAAAAGCTTTCTAAAAGCTTGGCACGAGTGACGCAGAATCGTCACGTCAGATATACAATATTCAATTAACTCCCTTCGGAAGTTGAAGATGTACTTTGCAGTTACCTGGGCATCGTACCATGTATTAAAGTCGTTGGCGGCCTTTGACTTCATGCCTGACACACAGTAAAGTTCTTTGTTTAGGAGGGGGCCTTCATAATTGTAATACTCTGGTTTATTAGCTAAGAAGGGCCAGTACCCTTTCTTGAGTTCGGTGAACCCGAATGACTTTGGCATAGTGCTTAGGGGCATTGGCAGGAACATTAGGGAATCAATAAATTTCCAATTGCCGATCTTCATGCACAGGATTTTAGCACCGTTCAGGATAAGATCTGGTTTCAATTCCCTTTTCACTAATTCCTGGAGAACGAAAATGGCGTCGAATGCCTTTGCATTGTGTGCCACTATCAAAACGCTTGTCTTAGGTCCAAAAGATTGGAGGTAGTCCAGAAACAAGCCCATAACATTAGCGTCAGGGTCATCCAAGTTGTGGAATACCTGTTGCCTGGTTTTACACACCGTGCAGAAATGGTCGTTTCCTGGCACTTTGGTGCAATCATCACACACTGCTTGTGAAACGAGCAGGTTTGGTTTGTGTTCGAATGTGTTTTCTTTTCCCTCAACAGGATCACATTGAGTAGTTTCAATGTCATAGAACACCGTTACATAGTTCCACTTTTTCTTTTTCTCTGGCTCAGTCCATCCACTCATGTAGCAAAGGTGATTCTCCTTGACATTTTCTTTACAGTTTTTACAATAAACAAAATTACATACATGTTTTGGTGACTTCAAAACGTTATAGCTTTTGGAGCAATTGGTGCAGAACCGAAAGACTTGACATTTTGTGTGATTAGAGTTCCTCATTTTCACAGTTTTGTGAAATCTCAAACACTCATCACCTGAGAACTGATGCCGACAGTCTGGACACCGTACAAGAGGAGTGGTGGGGTCATCGTGCACCGTATCTCCAAAACAACGCCAGCACGAACCCTCACAACGGTGATCTGTGTTGTGGTTGTAAAAAGCTACACATTTTTGGCATTCGAAATGAACTTCGAATGCCTGGCAAGGATAGAGGATAGCCGAAAAGTGTTCTCTGTGCAGAAGGAGGTACAGATTCTGACGCGTTGCATTATAAGGCCCCTTGAATATGCACTCTTTACCATGCTTGTCGGTAAAAACACAGAGTCGATAATCAGGCAGTATATCCTGCATCATTCTGATTTCATCTAGACCACAGGCTTGATCGTAACCAATGTGCGCTTTGTCACACAAAGCCTTAGCCCCCTTGTCCTGTTCCCCTGACTCCGGTTTCTTAAGCCGTAGAAACGAGGACCTGTGAAGACCCTTCCTAGACTTGGCCACAAATATGCTCCGTGCCAAGCACATGGAGTCCCTGGTGTTGTCAGGTGAAAATATGGTACTTTTGTCGACCATTCTTTGTAGCCATTGGTCCATAGTCTCATTCTGAACCCGATTAGTGCGACGACCTCCATTTTCTGGAGTAGGGACGTGTATGTAACTAATTTTCATGACCCCATTGGCCATGAAAGCCTGATTAGAGTTCAAAACACGTTCAAGCTTGTCGAGCACAACTTGACCGTTAAGTTGGTCAACCCTCCTCATGCTAAACCACAGAGGGTTGTCAACATTTTCTGCACTTTCAATTTCAAGGATTGCCCTGTCATCATCCTTGGCATCGACAGCCTCTCGCTGTCGCTGCAGCATGGTGTCGAAGAGCGATACCATAAGGTCTCCTGATGGTAAAGTGTCACCAAGACCTTTGATCATAACCACTTCTTCGCGGAATTTTGTTTTGAACCGTTTAAGCTCACGCTCACGGCTTTGAAGCACCTCCAGGGTAGGGCCTTCCTCCTCCTGATCCTCCTCCCTTGGGCGTTTGGCGGCCTCGGGGGAACGAGATGGACCTGGCTGTGGAGAGGGTGACCTCGACTCAGAAGAACCTGGCTGAGGCGAGGGTGACCTCTGCTTGGAGGGGCCTGGCTGAGGCGAGGGTGAATGAGGAGGCTCTGGCTGAGGCGAAGGTGACCTGAACTTGGAGGGACCTGGCTGAGGTGAAGGTGACCTAGGCGTAGGTGTGGCAGCACAGGGCGTGGCGGGTTGTGGCGTGGCAGGGCGTGGCGGGGCAACGTGGGGTGGAGCGTTCGACCCACAGCCTACCATGGCCAAAGCCATGCGGTAGGTCAAGGCAGCATGAGGATCCTCACCCTTCTGGTCCTCCAAGTACGCCAGATAGCCGGCAAGCAGGAATGGGACGACGCGAGGGTCGCTCCGCTCCGCTGCAGTGGCCCCAACGAGCTGCCCGAGAAATGTAGTATAAGCTTCTGACAGCAGCTCCGGGAACATGAACATGCCCTCCTCCCACTCGTCCAGGATCTCAATCAACTTGGAGTCCATGGCGGCGAGAGTCAAGAGACAGGGTTAGGAAGCGGCACGAAGGCCAAGGAGAGGAGTAGCACGAAGGCCAAGGAGAGGAGCGGCGCGAAGGCCGAGGAAAGGATCAGCACGAAGACTGAGGAGCGGCGCGAAAGCCGAGGAATAGCGAGGACAGCACGAAGGCAAAGGAGATGTGTCGCGGACGAAGCCGGAGGGACAATGATGCCTGACCGCTCCGCACGCTCTGGCTTTATACCCGCGGCGCGCCACTACCAGCGCCGCCTAGCGGCCGGTGGCGGAACTACAATTTAGCATTGCGCTTATGGAGGTGCGCAGCCAGCGCGCGCCAGCTGCGCACCTACCTGTTCGAACGTGTTTGCGGCACCGGCGCGCTGCGCACTCAGCGCGGTGCGCCGGCTGCGCACCATGCGGCGCTGCTCGACACGGCGCGGCGGTGGCGGCGGGGCGGCGGGGCGGCGGGGCGGCGCGGCGGCGGGAACGGCGGGCGGACGCGTTCTAACCGGTGCGCGTGCGGCGGCGGGAAGGGCGGCGGCGGCGCGAACGGCGGGGCGGCGGCGGCGGCGCGATGCGGTAGTAGTGGGTCCGGCGAAAGCAAGTTCAAACTTGCCCCGTAGTTCCAAACCGGCCGCTAGGGAGCGCCACCGGTGGCGCTCCGCGGGTATAAATGAAGCGCTGCCGGAGCAGAGAGATCATTACTTCGCTTCGGCTTACACAGTTCACATCGACACATCTTGGTCTTCGTGCCACTTCATCTTGGTCTTCGTGCCACTATGACTTCCAAACGCCCTTCTACCAAACCCTCTAAGCGCCGGCTCTTCCCCGACGCACCGGACGCTGCCGCCTCTCGCAAAAAGAGAGCGGTGTCTGACGACCCTTACGCCCTTGTCAACGTCGATCCTGGCGCGGGTCTTGGAAAGGATGAAGGAGACTACGGTCCTCGCCTTCCTTACGTCTTTCCTCCCCCCACCTTCAACTTCGGGCAGGTTACCGGCTTCGGCTATGCCCAGACTGCACAGCCTACTGGTTCCGGCCCTACTCCCCCTACTGGTTCCGCCCCTGGCTCCGCCCAGGAGGCCGGTGCCACCTCTTCTGGTCATGCCCCTGGCTTCGTCCATGAGGCCACCACCACCACCACCCCTTCTGGCTCCGCCACTAGCTTCGCCCAGTTGGCTGCATCGGCCCCTGATCTCCCTGTGGACGGGTATCAACCTGTCTTCAATGGTCCGGGGTATTATGTGGAGCCCGAGTTAGGAGACACAAACGAAATTTGGAATCAGGCTTATGGTCCTGACGTTGATCGTATGCTGCAAGAAGCTATGGGGATCTATCAGGAACCACAAATCGTGCCTGCAAATCTACTTGAACTGCCCATGCAGTCCTCCTACAAAGATTATAACTTGACACATTCAGCATCAAAAACGGTTAGGATTGGTCTTGATGTGTTCAACTTCACTCCATATGTTCTGCTTCTAGGAGATGTGAGAATGGGAGGGCAAAGAACTTGGATCAGAATGTCAACAGATGAGTTTGAAGATCTGATTTCAGATCCTATTCACAAAAAAGTTAAAGAAAGTCTGCAGGCTAAAACAGTTCTGGGGCCACTCACTTTGGGCGGAGTGTCAGTCAGTGTAACAGTCCATGAAAAAAATAACAAGTGGGCTCACGTTTGCATTCAACGTTCAGATTCCCCTTTCAAAATAACTCTGGCTGTAACTTCATGGAACATGATGAATAAACTCAATTTTCTTTTCAATTACACACTCCACAAAAATTTCTCTCTGGGTGTTAAGGCCAGAAGATATTTCTCTGACTACATAAGCAAATGTAAGGACATAGCCTTTGAAAAGGGATATAAAACTCCCTCCTCTATCCTTGACCTTAAATCGGAGGAGAGAGAAACACTATTAAGTGAAATCTTTAAGACAGACACCCCCGTTCCCTTCCCTGAAGTTCTCAAAAGAGAACTCATTTGCTACCACTTTGATTTCCTCAAAGAAAAACTGTTCTCAGC